ATTCACTGACTTGTTTAACTCACTGTTATTTTTATACTAACTTTTGAAGTTAATTAATTTGATTAAAAGATGAATGATAGAAGAGAAAACATTTATAGAAGATACCTACAATCAGTAATGCGTTAAAGTTAAATATACTACTTTAATTTAATTTGATTAGTCTCTTTCATTTGATAATAATTATCTATAGAAAATTAGTATGGAAAAAAAATTGTTCCCACCGTCTGACCGTTTATTTCCGCCTTGATTAATTTCAAGTCTAGGGCTTGTAGGATTTAATATTTTTTATTTGTAATGAAGGAGAAATGATTACAATTATTTCAAGGGAATGCTAGTTGTGTCCAAAAACTTCAACATAGGTTTATAAATTTTATGGTTGGAATTTGTGGGTAAATGCTTCTATCTGTTGCTAAGAAGATGGACGATCTTGCTATAAAAAGTTGACATTGAGAAGGTATTGAGAGAGCAAAAGCATAACATACAAATTTGTTGGATTGGTTCTCAAAAGTCATTGATTGAAAGACGGCCATGGTTGATAGCTAAATGATGCTAAGCTATCAACAAGGTGAATTTAATAGGAGAAGTCTCAGAAAGAAGCCAATTTGAAGTTGGTCAAGCCTAGAACTCTATGCTGTTAAGCTGCCGACACATCCTAAGATGGATAAATGATGGGTTTAGATGGAATACTTCCAAGGTGGAAACTTTTTATATAAGAGTCTCAGGAAAGTGCTGTTCGAAAGGCAACCAAAGCTGACTAGAAAGTGGCGGGGCTAGGCAAATTGGAATTCAGCCATGCTGATATTTAGCTGAACGAGTAAATGAGATCTCTTCTCATCTTGAACAAAACTTGAGATTCTTATATGGTAGTGTCTTAGGTATAAAGGCTTGCATTCAAACAATTAAGCAAGAAAAAATATTTTTCTAGCACTAAGGGTGCATTTGAGGTGGCGGTGCGGTGATGGTGTGCTGCCGCACCACAACTTTTCCAAACCTGTTTGGAAAAACTACATTTTTCCTGCATTCTCAAAAAAATGCAGTTGAAAACTGCGTTTTCCCAGCAGACCTCAGTATCTATGGTGTCTGCTAGAAAGCTGCAGACTGATTTTTTTTTATCCTAAAGTTGTAATTGCCACCGCATTGTTTGAACAAGAGTTTTTTTAACAACTTCATAGATGCTTCTTCAAACAACTGCAGCTGCCTCAAATAGACCCTAAGTTGTGCAATCCTAAAAAGAAGATCATTATATCATAGCAAAATTACATATTATAATTATTGAAACAAATAAGCATGTTGAGATGCAAGCTTCTCGAGTGCCAATAATGTTTAATTATAAATTTGGAGATGCCCTAAACATTCCCTATAAAAGGTTTGTTGAAAGATTTGTCTATTTATCACAAACTAGACTTTACAATGCTTATGTTATGACTGTAGTAAGTTAATTCTTGTACAATTCTGAATTAGTTTTTAGTGTTATACATTAAATTATAGAACATATTAATGAATTTTAGGTAAAGGAATTTTTTTCAAAAGGGAGTATCTCTAACACTTGAAGCCTATATTGATGTTGATTATGCAAGATTTACTATTAATAAGGGAGCAACTTTAGGGCATTGTTCATTCTTAGGAGATAACATTGTACTTGAGAAGTAAAAAAAGTATAATATGATGATAAGATCTTGTAGAAAAGCTGATTTTAGGATTGTTACAATAGGAATATATGAGTTATGCCTAAAAATTATCTTGGAAGATTTAGTTAATGAAAAGGCCTGAAAGCTCTTTCATGACAAGTCAGCCATCCCGTGCTACTTGACTGAATAAAATATATTAAGTGGATATGTATTTTATGAAAGAGAAGTTTGATAATGGTCAAAGTTGTACACCATTAGTTGCATTGTCAATGGGCAACTTTTAGTCATTCTTATTAAAAGATGATAAAAAATATTATTTTAAAACATTATATGCAAACTTAAAATGGACATCATCTATTGATTCGCTTGATAGGGAGTTTGGAAAATAAATTTCCATCAATTTTGCCTCCATCAAATTTCCATCGATCTTGACATTTTTCCATTTATCTTATTTCCAAAACTTGTCACCTTGGAATATTGAGTTAGTTGAACAACTTAAAGGTTAAGTGGCTGAAAATTCTATATGGCATATTAGGGAAATGTGAACAGATTACACTTGTAGCAGATGGTAGGATTCAATGTATTTTATTTGTAATGGAGGAAAGATTAAAATTTGTTCTAGTGGTAAATGTTTTTGGAAGATGCTAAAAAAATGGAAGATAATGCTATTGAAAATTGACACTGTGAAGGTATTATGAGGACAAAAGCATAATAGGCAAATTCATGGGATCTGTTCTCAGGAAGACCTTGATTGAAAGGCAACCATTGTTGAAAGCTATAGGATGCTAAGCTATCAACAAGGTGACTTTAATGGAGGAAGTCTCAAAAAGAAGCCAATTTGAAAAGGGGCTACCCTAAAATTCTAGCCTGCTTAGCTGCTGACACGTCATAAGTTGGATAAATGATAGATCTAGATGGAATATTTCAAAAGAGGCTGCTTCATATATAAGAGCCTCAAGAAGATGTTCGAAAGAAAAGCCAAAGCTAACCAGGAAGTAGTTGGGCTAGACAAATTGGAATTCAGCCATGCTGACAACTAGTTAACGAGTAAATTAAATCTCTACTCGCCTGGAAGATAACTTACAGACTCTTAAATGGTAAAGTCTTGGGTATTGAGCCTTTGAAGAAGATGTTGCTTCAAGCTTTTGATGCCAAAACATTAAATAAGCAAAAGTATTTTTCTAGCACTAAATTTCTATGGGCATAGGTTCATTGTATGACAACAGAAATACATAATATACTTATTGAATCAAATAGGCATGTTGATATGCAAGTCTCTTGCATGCCCATAGAAATTAATTATAAATTTGGAGATGCTCTGGAGGATAGCCATAGAAAAAGATTCCTTATAAAAGGCTTGTGGGAAGGTTTGTCTATTTATCATAAACTAGACATTACAATGCGTTCGTTATGAGTGTAGTCAGTTAATTTATGTTCAATTCTAGTGAATTAGTTTTTACTGTTATATATTAATTTTAGAGTATCTTAATGAATTCTAAGTAAAGGATATTTTTTCAAAATAGAGTAATTCTGTATAGATGTTGATTATGCAAGATTTATTATTATAAGGGGGCAACTTTAGGGGACTGTACATTCATTAGGAATACAATTGTACTTGAGTAGTAAAAGAAAAATACAATATGATGGTAAGATCTTGCAGAAAATCTGATTTTAGGTTTAGGCTTATAACAAAAGAAATTTATGAATTGTTATGCCTAAAAAGTATTATGGAAGATTCAATGTTTACGTGGAAAGGCCTTCAGGCTCTATTATGACAAGGCAGCCATCCCTTGCAACTTGACTGAACAATACATATTAAAGTGGATATGTATTTTATGAATGAGAAGTTTGATAATGGTCTAATTTGTACCCATTAGTTGCTTTGTGGTTGGTCAACTTGCAATCATTCTCAGCTAAAATTATAAAAAAATATTATTTAAAAAATTCATTTATAAACTTAAAATTGACATGATCTATTCATTCATTTGATAGGGGGTTTGAAAAAATCAACTTCCATCAATTTTGCCTCCATCAAATTTCCATAGATCTTGACAATCCTCCATTTATCGTATTTCCAAAGCTTGTCACCATGGAATATTGAGTTAGTGGAATAACTTGAGGAATGTTGAGTGGCCAAAAATGCTTTGGGATATTAGGGAAATGTGAGCAGATTAAACTTGTACGGATGATAGGATTCAATGTTATTTTTTTGTAAGGATGGAGGAAGGATTAAAATTACTCCAAGGGGCTACTAGTTATAGCCAAAAACTTCAACAGTGGTTTCTAAATTTTTTGGTTGGAAGTTATGGGTAAATGCTTCTGGATGATGTTAAGAAGATGGAAGATCATGCTATAAAAAGTTGGCACTTAGAAGGTATTGAGATGGAAAAAGCATAACGAACAAATTCATGTGATCGGTTCTTACTTTTCAGAAAGTCGTTCATTGAAAGGTAGCCATTATTGACAGCTATAGGATACTAGCTATCAACAAGGCGACTTTAATGGGAGAAGTCTTTGAATGAAGCCAATTTGAAGATGGCCAACCTTACCACTCTAGGCTGTTGAGCTGCTGTCATGTCCTAAGACAAATAAATGATAGATCTGGAAGGAATACTTCAAAGGAGGCGATTTCATATATTAGAGTCTCAAGAAGATGGCAGCCAAAGCTGACCAAAAAGTGGCTGGGCTCGGCAAATGGAAGTTAAGCTATGCTGACAACTAGCTGAACGAGTAAATGAAATCTCTGCTCACCTGGAAGATAACATGTGAGTGAAAAATGAAGCCAGCATAACTATCAACTATCTCAGACAAGGAAAAACGTACGTTTACTGAAGCCTTCATGCCATTGCAATGGGCATGCTTGAACTATGTCAAGTAAAATTTTTGTGTGGCAGCTTGTAGATTTTAAGTTGTCTAGCTTCAGAGTAAGGGTTGGAAGCCTTGTTAGATGTCATGATGCACCAATTACATTTTTTTTAAAACTAAGATATCGAATGCCCCTTCCAGCCATATACTCCATTTTTAGCCACCATTACTGTATGTACTTTTACATAATACAACAAAAAATCAAATAATACTTTTCTGTCCAAGAGTACCTTAAAATATAATATCGTGGAATTTTGGATGTTTTTATTTTGAGTTTGTACTTAATGTACATAACACGGACTGTGCAGGCACATCCAACAATTCATAGGCATGCATATAAGTAAAAAATGCCCAATAGATATGACTTTAGATATTAGAGATTGTATGCTAAATATCTTTTAATGCCAATGAAGAACTTTTGTAGTATGTTTCCACTGACTATTATTATTTTTCTCAATTACATCAAGTCAAACTGTAAATCCTCTCAGTGAGATTTCTAATTTTCAGGTGGGAAATAATCCGTATGATCCCAAATCAATGGTTTTCATGGACTACCGAGACCATGTGAAGGGAAAAATTATATCCTCTGATGAATATCCAACGTTTCTCTATGTCATGCCCTTGTCACCTACAAGGGTCTTTTATGAGGTTTGCTTACGACCCTTGTTTTTTTTTGTTGGTTTTGCTTTTGTGGTAGTTTTCTAAGTGTAATCTGATTGCAGGAAACTTGCTTGGCTTCAAGGAACGCCATGCCTTTTGATCTTCTTAGAAGTAAACTTATGTCTCGCTTGGATGCTATGGGTGTCCGTATATTGAAAATATATGAAGAGGTAAGCTGTTGGAGAAACATATTAGGGAAACATAATATTCATTAATTATAAAAACTGTTAATTCACATGGATCTTGGAAAAGTGAGATGCTTTTGATTGGAACCTGGTACACAAATTAATCTTCACGTAGTTTGATTGTGAGAATAGCATTTTGATAGTAAATCCATCAAGAATGTGTTCAGGATCTCCGATATCTTTCTTTTAGCAACATATATAATTAATCCTGTTAATGGTTCAAAATTTATTATAAAAAGTTTCACAGGTAAAACACCTTATAACTTTGTATTGAAATTCACTCATTGGGCAGTTATTATTTATTAAGTTTTTTTGTTTCTTTAAGATACCTTGTTTTCTTAGCTCTCTCAAATTATTTCTATGAAACATTGGATGGAATGATATTGTATTTAATTGCTTTTTTCCCTCCCCAATGCTTTTCGGCTTATGCTTGTTGTTGCTATGATTTGATGAGATCGTTAGCACTTTACAATCACTTCAAACTTTTTTATTTGAAAGTTTTGTGGAGGGTGGAGCATAAGGAGGCCACCATCTCTTGTAGTCTCGCTTGATGTTTTTTAGTTCTCTTACATATGCATATAATCTTCATCAAGGGTTATTGAAACCAGCTAATAGGAGTGCCAACTCTTTCTGTATTAGATATGTTGCTGCAAGGTAAAAAACTTATTAATCCAATAACAAGAAAAAAATCGAGTGGTGGATATATATATATATATATACATATATA